CCCTGAGCCTCAGGTGGGCCCTGTAGCCCCGTGACCCCCGATGTCGGCGAGACTTGGGCAAAGGACCAGCAATGCACACCTGGACTGCTGACCCTGGAAACACTGAGGTTACGAGCACACTGTTCTGAGCTGCTGGGTCTGTGACAGCTGGTTACACAGCGAGAGGAACGGATGGGTCAGGTGACAATGGTGTGTGATGTGTTTCTGCTGTTAGGAGCAATGACAGGTCTGGGTTACATTAGGCATCATTTAATATGGTATGTATTTAAGAAAAGAAAGTGTAATAAAGTTTTGGTTTCATTGCCGAAGGCAAAAGGCCAAAGCAGCCAAAGGGCTTCTCTTCTGGACTTCGGTGACTGTATTTGTCAGTGTTCTACCAGAGAATCAGGACCAGCAGGATGTGTGTGTGGGGCTAGAGATGGGGAGGGGGTTGGGGGTTCCTCTAAGGAATTGGCTCACGTGATTGTGGAGACCTGATTGGTCCAAAATGTGCAGGGTGGGCCAGCAGGCTGCGGGACCAGATAGGAGCCGGTGGGGCTTGAGTCCAAAGGCCATCTGATGGCAGAATTCCTTCTTGCTTGGGGAAGTCCGTGTTTGTTCTATTAAGGCCGTGAACTGATTGAACGAGGCCCACCTGTACAGTGGAGGGAAATCTGCTTTACTCCAAGTCCACCCATTTAAATGTTAATCTCGTCCAAAAATCACCTTCACAGGAACGTCCAGAATGTTTGACCCAGTATCTGGGCATCATGGCCCGGCTGAGCTGACACTCAACATTAGCCACCACACCAGAGAATGGGCGGGGTTGTGAATTGCGGACAGTACAGCGGCACCAGCGTGTCTTGGGCATGTCGCTCATGGGGAGGGCCTGTCTGGGAGCGGGGCTTCAGGGCAGTGGAGTACAGAGGTGGGCTGAGGAGGGGGCAGCTGGCCTCCCCACGTGGTCTTTACCCATGAGCTCAGAGTTTTCAGTAAACGCTGCCACATAAGAAACACTTAGTGGAAGCATGACTTTGTGGATAAAAGGAACAGGCTGAGTTTTGCAGTCTGGGTGAGAGTTGGATCTTTCTGGAAGTGGGCAATTGGTTTTGAATGAAATTGCAGGACGCACCATTTTTATATGACTTGAAATGGTTCTTAAACTTATCTGTGTATCACGGTTCCTTTCATGGCTATTGGGACAGTTGACTGGGACCGCCGCAGAGTTTCTACCTGGTTTCTAACGAATTTCCAGGTGATGCCGCTGCTGCTGGTCCAATGTTTTATGGGATGAAGTAGATCTACAATAAAATGGGAATGTTTGGGGCGCCCGGGGGGCTCAGTCAGTGGAACACTGACTCTGGATTTCAGCTGAGTTCCTGATCTCAGGGAGGTGGGATCCGGCCCCCCGTCGGGCTCTGCGCTCAGCAGGGAGTCTGCTTGTCCCTCTCCCTCTCCCTCTGCCTTTGTCTCTAAAATAAATACACAAATAAACACAATCTTAAAATAAGTGATATCCAAGTGTTTGCATGACTCTGCATTTTTTCAGGGTCCCGTGCCTTGTGTCAGAGCCTCTCTGCTTTATCCAGCAGCTTCTGTGGTTCCAAGTATGGACACAGGGTGGTGCCATGTGCCCACGGAGTCACCCTGGACCTTCCAGGTGCCCTGGCAGCTTTGAGTGGGAGGATGTGTGCAGGTGGCTGGTCTCTCCTACCCCAACCCCCCGGGGCAGTAGGGTCAGGTCAAGGGCAGAGATAGGAATGTGCTGGGTGTGGGTGAATGAAGGAGATGATGGTGAAGATTCAGGTGACAGGGGTACTTGTGTCTTCCAGAGCCCTTGGGAGCTCTTCCTGGGGCCACTCCTGACCAGGACAGGCTGGAACAGGCCTGGCTTGCCTTGATCCCTGGGCTCTGCTCCCTCTCCTGGTTTCTCCTGCTGTTACAGGGGACGCATCTGACCCTGCACCCTCAGAGCCTGTCACTTTCTTGTTCATTGTGACCCCCCCCCCCCAACTTGGTCACCACTCTTCTCCGTTGGTCATCTCATTTTCCTTCCAGTTGGAGGAGGAGAGTCATTTGGGGCACAGAACAGTGCTCTGCGGAGGCTCAGTGTGGCCTCAGAGCAACGAAGGAAGAAGCCAGACCAGGGTCCCCACTCAAGCAGCGTCTGTGTGCTCAAAGCAGCAGGGTCTACGTAGGGTTTGGTTTGCACAACTGGTTCCGGGGACCGAAAACCCAGCCAGGTTGAGGTCTGCATCTGCGGGTGGGGGAGCCCCCAGGAGCTATGTGAGCACAGAAACAGGGAGCGCAGGTTTGAGCGCTGGAAAGCTTAGGCTTGTGGGAGTGGATGCGAAGGCATGAAGGTGAAGCGGGGGTAGATGGAAGCTTGAGGGAGAGGCCTGGGACTTTTCTCTCCTTTGGATCGCAGTCCCTCGCCCTCCGGTCCTGGCCTTCACCAGGGCCTCTCCATGTAGTAGCCCCCCAACTCCTTCCACTCCCGCCCTCCCACCCCCCAAAGGCTGGGAGAGCTCGGGCGGAGAAGACCTTCCTTAGAGCCAGTCCTGGGTGGTTGGGGACAGCAGGATTTCTCTGTGAAAAAAGAAACGCTGTAGGCTGCCTGATTGATGGTCTGACCCACGGTCTTATTCTTGAATGGACCCCAAAGGTATAATTAAAGGTTTAGGCGGAAGGGATTACTCCAGAGGAGGGGCTGAGCCCCCCGCAGCCTGAGGCTGGCATCGGCGCGTGGGATCAGCGTTGCCGGAGATAACATTCAGGACACACTCCCTCCTCCAGCTTCCTAGGGCTTGCCTCCTCTTTGGAAAACGGAGACAAAGGAAGACGGTGGGAGGCGGGGTGGGAAGCCCAGAAATGAGCCCCACATTTAGAACAAGTGTGGTTTCCAGGGAAGAACACATGCTAAATTACGTTTCCCATGCTGCGTGCTCAGACCAGCAGCTCGCCGTTTCTAACGATCATACCCAGTGAGGGTGGTGACCATGGCTGAGTCTGGGCTCAGGTGGCCTCTGCCCCCCAGCTACTGGCCTGTGCCCATGCTGATCAGGTCTAGAGACAGCTGAGGAGTTCGCTCTGGGCTGTGGACTTTATCCCCGTGCATGGTAATCTAGGTCGTTCTGACAGTAGAGTGAAACCCTGCCCTATTCCTTCTCGTCTGACTCAACTGTGTGCTCCTCAAGACAGGCCAGTGCTGGCCGTGGAACAGAAACCACGTGTGTCCTTCCGACCCCAGCCTGTCCACCACCCCGACCCAACTCTCCTTGTTTCCCTACCCTAACCAGCCTTCTGACATTGACTGAAAACCTGCCAGGCGCCCACGGTTCTGTGATGACCCCAGCAAAGTCCTTGCCTCATGGGGCTTGTATCCCATCAAGAAGGCATGTCTGAGAAGAGGTCAACGGAACAGGACCTGAAGGGTTTAAAAACATGTGGCGAGCGCTCCAGTGTGGGGTGGGAGTGAGGTGTGTCTGGAAGGAGGCAGGAGGCGGGCATTAGGGTATAGGGAGCAGGTGAGGCAAGGTCAGACCACTCAGGCCTTGAAGGCCATGGAAGGGAGGCAAGGGGAGCCAGCGGGGGAGGCTGAACATGGCAGTGGTAGGAGCTGGTTGCTCCCCAAGGGCTGTCCAGGCTACTGGGTGGGGCAGTGTCAGAGGACACATTCAGGGTTGGACTGGGTGAGGGTGGCGAGTCGGCTTGGTGGGGTGTGGCGTCGTTGGTGACCCGGTGTGGAGTGTGAGCACTGGAGGAAAACGAGGGTGATGCTTGGACATTCGACCTGAGCACCTGGGAAGGGAAAGGGCAGGGGACAAACCACAGGGCCTCGGGAACTCCACCAAAGCTGGGACAAGGGTCAGCCTCAGTACACCCTAAATATCATGACTGATAAGCAGCTGGGGTGTCACAGATGAAGGAGGTCTGGAGAAGGTGGATGGAGAGATTGCACAAATCCTGAGGCTGTCAGGGATCAGGCAGGCTCTGCATGAGTCGGGAGGAAGGCCAGGGGCTCGGCGTCCAGCAACCAAGGGCAGAAGGGCTGGAGAAGCTTCTGGGGACTTGAGCATCTGACTCACCCCAGGGGCTCAGGGCCCCTGTTCTCCTGGAGGACAGTAACTGGGGTCCACAGTGAGTCACATCTGGTCACTTCCGTTATCTCAGGGAAATCAGCAGCAGGGTCTCTGATAAGGGTGTGTGTGTGTGTGGGGGGGGTGTTGGTTCAGAGAGAAGGTGTGAAATAGTCTCACAGAGCAGGAAAACACACTGTAGGTGTTTGTTGTGGGCAGAATTGAGTAAGTCATTTTCTGCATAAATAAGGGAAGAGAGGCGGGGAGGCTCCGAGCTCACGCAGGGCAGGCGGGCAGCTCACAGACCAATTCCCCATGGGGCCCGTGGGCATCAGGACCCAGCACATTCGGCCCTGGGAGGCTGTCCCCACAGGTGGGCCCAGAGGCAGGGGCCTAAGTGCCCCCTGGCCCCTGAACTCGCACTCGCCAAATGTCTGCTGACCTTCCCACCTCTGTTTGTCCACGGGGCAATTGTGAGGGTCTCCTCCAGGAACAAAGGCTGTCATGTCAGCGAACACAGAAGAGAGGCCGCTCAGACCTACCACGTGCTGGGCCTGGGAGGAGCAGGGCTCTGGGAACAGCCAGCGTCCATCAGTTAAGAGTCAGAAGGCTGGGCAGCCCAGCCAGGAATCCCTGAGCTAGAGAACTTTAAAATAGCTCTGCATGGGGAGGTCATCTGACCCTCCAGATACTTAAGGAGCCCTCTCGACTTATGTCACTTTCCCCCTCTTGCATTCTCAAGCTCTTTGACTTCCCTACTCCTGCTTCTACGTTGAGGGTCGTGGTCACCGAGAAATGAAGGCCCTTTGCCGAGTGGGCCAAGCCTGCCTCTGCTGAGAAGAGCTGGAAGCCCCTCGGGTGCCCCAGCAGGGGCGGGGCCTGGAGGCTGCTGGACTGAGGCTGGCTTTCCCCACTTCCAAGCAGGAGTTCTCTCTGCCAGGCAGCGTGACAGGAGGAGACAGCTGCAGCTCCCCCCTTGAGCTATAAAAAGCCCCAGCAGCCGAGTGAGCAGAGGGTACGCCAAGCAGATACACGGAACTTAGCTGCACTCCGGGGGAGCTCGGCTCCACTATGATGCTGAGGTTACCCTGTGCCCCTAGGCTCCTGCAGGCCTCTCTGAGGGCCTGGGTGGTTCCCAAGGCACATGTCTCCACGAAGCCGGCCCGAACACCCACGTCTCCCACGGTAAGTCTTCCGCTGCGGAGGGGTGCTGACCTGAGCAGTGGAGTGAGACGTCCTGCACGGTCTTGGGAGACGAGGTGGGTTTGGGGGCAGGACTCAGAAGGCCAGGCTGGTAAAGGGGAGGAGGGATGTGTTCTCAGGCCTGTGGCTTCTAGAGGTGATCCTCGAGCTAGAACACAGTCCTGTGGCTGGGACGCCGTCCTGACTCCAGAAAAGAGGTCCTTACATCCCTCACCTGGAGGTTAGGCTCCCAAAGCAGCTGGCAGTGAGGGGACGGTGGTCTCTGTTTGCAGGCCCCCACTTGCCTTCTGGCCAACGAGGGTGCTAAGAGCTGAGCTGGAAGGGCATCGGTGTGGACGCCAGCTTCACTGTCCATTGAAGGGGACGGTGGGCTGCTCTGAGGGTCTGTGAGAGCATAGGCGAGAACACAGAGCTCGGTCATCCTTGGGCTCCGGGACAGCAGACGACTACCTCTGGGTTAAGCCACAATAAAACAAGGTCTAGAAGGTCAACTGTTCAAGGTCATATCACTGGTGAAGCAAAGATCTGAATCCAGCTGAAGGGCCCAGTTCTGGGCCAACGTTGTTCTGAATCTGCTGGAAGGTGAAGTCAAGAGGAAGAATTGGTTTCCAACCCAGCATCTGACTCAGTTTGAGGGACCAGGGAGGGATGACTGGGCCTAGGCTCTGTTTCAGGAGGAATCCGAGCGGAGGGGAGGTAGCCAGGTGGGATGGCCTCTGTGTGTTTGCATGTGCGTGCACACACGTGCACATGCGGTACGGGGAGTCCATCTCCTCCACTCAGCTTCTGAGCAGGACCACCATCTTGGGAAAAGGCCCTGCCCTTTTCTTGTATGACCCGAATCTCTGCCGTCTCTTCCGCCCCGCACTGCGTCTGACACGCACATGCTGTGCCCAGGCAGGAGTTCAAGGTTGAGGCACAAGTGGCCTGGCCAGACAGGCTCTCGGGGGCAGGGGCGATGGGAAGAGGTCCCGCGGAGAGACGGAAGCCCAGGGCAGTCAGTCTAGGTCTTTGCAGAGGCCGTGCGCATGGAGGACTGCAGTAGTCCCTGCTCGTGCGGACTTTGCCCCCGACACACAGGAAGTCTGGGCTGAGCTGAGGGTCCCCCAGGAGCAGAGGGGCTGAGGCAGGTCTCTCTGGACCACTGCTCTGGTGAGAGAAATCCCACACTGCAGGGCCAAGGGACTCAGGGGCAGGTGGACAGCCTTCCTCAGTGACTCAGGAATGACCTGATGTGTCATGGACTCACACGTGCTTTCCTTGACCCAGGAGCAAGCCATTGGACTCTCTGTGATGTTCCTCAGCTTCCTGATTCCTGCAGGCTGGGTCTTATCCCACCTGGACAGCTACAAGAAAGGCCCCGAGGTGTGAAGGCTCCGCAGCTCGGGCTCCAGGCGCACGACGGAGAATTGCATTAAACCCCTCCTCCACCTAGTGCTCCCTTGGTGATCGTGTGATTTGTGTACGAGCATCCCCATGGCTGGACACTCAGCACTGGGTGGAGGGCTGCTTGGGACACCTGGGCCCCAGAAGCCCCTGGCTGGGAGGGAGTGGGTCAGATACCTCTGTCAGAAGACAGGGGACCCCTCGTCTGAGCCCCGTGAGATAGGACTTGCTTCCTTGGCCTCAGTGCCCTGTATGTGTTGAGCCGCCCTTTTCCCAGGGTAGGAGAGGAGGACTGAGGCCAAACCCCCACCTAGCCCTACCTCCCATCTCTTGCTTTCTGATCTCTGAGGCCCAGGCTTGACCTGGGAGCTAAGACTGAGGAAACAGAACCACGAAGAGGACAAAACAAAGGCGTTTATTACATTCTCACGTGACACAAGAGATGTTCCCACAGATGGAGGTAATGGAGATGAGCCTCCAAGTGGTGTCCCCACGTGCTTTCGGGCTACTCCTTCTCATTCCTCGGGGCACACTCTTGTCTGCCTTGTCACCAGAGACCCGTGACCCCTCCCCACCGTGGGCTATGGGAGACACCCACAAAAGAGGCTTCTCTCTGTGGCCAGGCACCCCGTCAGCAACAGTCCTGTGTTCACAGCAGGGAGAACAGGCCCCACCCCACCAGTGGAACCCCACCCCCACCCCCACCGAGTGCAGATGTTCCCGGTGGCCACACACGGGGAGGCGGGGGACTAAGTGAGGATGTCGTGGGCCTGGTGCTCCACCAGCATCTCCATGCTCCTCACGTCGGTGCACCAGAACTCCAGGCGGTCCTTCATCCCCTTGATCTGAGGTAAACCAGGACCACACGGGTGTTAGGACACTTAGCAATCCCAGGCCTCCATCTCCAGCTAAGTCTTTAGGACAGGACTTATCAAAAGGACCCCAGAGCTGGGGGAGTGGGCTGTATGAGAGGGGGTGACCCCTGTCAATTCTTATCACAAGGACATTTAAAAAAACTTGCATGAAAGAAAACAGGCAATAGAGGAAATCCACAGGATTAAATTTCCAGCCAATATGGACAAGACGGATCTGAGCTCAAACCACAGAACTAGGAACGTATTTGATCAGAGTACCAATTTTAAGATTAAAAGGCATCGTCAGCACAACAGCACTGTAATTACGATAAGCTTTTAAATGCAGGGCTCAAACCCACGACTTGTATTAAATTAGGTTCTATGAAAAACCCTTACTCCCCACAGCAGTAATATATTCCCCGAAATCTCGTCAATACTGCGTTCTTCCTACCGGGCTTCCATCCAAGCGAAACTAAGACAGCAGATACCATCCAAACCACCCCCGGGGGTGAGCGATGTGTTACCTGCTGCAGATCCAACACTCGGGGCTGCACCCAGGTCATGTGAACCCGCTTATCCACCTCGTCAATGCTGCCTTTCACCAGACCCACCGAGAGTGCCTTCATCACCAGCAACTCCACCTGCGCACAGAGGGGCCGACGTGAGTCACCCCGAGGCCCTAAGTGTGGGGAACGAGACACCGTGCCCTCTGTGGTTTGCAGTCTGGGGAGCAGAGCTCGTCGGAGCTCCGAACCCCCTAGGTCCAACAACTGTACCTCGTTCACAGTGATTTTAGCACTTTTGGCAATTTCTTCAAAAGTGAGTTGTCTGTGATTGGCAGGTCGTGTGAAAGTCATCTGAAAAAAAATTTCTTGTTAACTATGTTTCCAAATGAAAACTGTCCAAGAACTGACCGATAAGGATGTTTTTGTCAATACTTGCTCCGAAAGCGCAGATCCTATTCCTATCCCACAAACTAAACTTTTCCTCAACACCAGCCCTGCATGTTTACTGGGAACCGGCCTCACGGCAGCTGTCCACAACGGTCGGTATTCGCGCGCGGAGCAAGCGCTTGGGGCCGCAAGTCAGGGCTGTACATGAGCTGGAGACAGTGTGGCAGCCCAGAAATGTAAGGGCCGGTCCCTCAGGAAGCTCAAATTCTGACAGGAAAGACAGAGGAGCGTGCAGAGAGGCGCCGTGCGCTGTGACGTACAGCGGGGTGGGAGCTACTTTAGCCCAGATGGTCAGGGAACACCTCTCTGAGGAGGGTCACCTGAGAGGAGACACGAATGGTCGCAGAAGACAAAAGGAAGGTGGTGGAGAGGGGTGCAGCCGGAGTGCCGCTGCGAGAGGCCTGCAGCCTGCGGGGCTGGTGGGCTCGGCTGCAGGGTCTGGAATCACGGTGGTTCCCGTGCGCTCACCTCCATGAGGCACAGCAACTGGATCTTCCTCAGAAGCTGAGCCTCGTTGGCTGCTAAATCAGGCTGAGAAGGAGAAAGACACCAGTTACGCAACCTGCACTTTGAGATTCTTCCTACAACAGACAGAAGGAAAAGAAACCCCGCATGTCCAAACACGGTATACCACGGGGTCACGGAGGCTCACTTTTCTCAGGGCGCCATCAACGGCTGCATCCCCGAAAGCCCGTGCTCCCGCCTAAGGCACGCGCGAGGCGGTGGGTACTAACGCCTCAGATGCCAGGGGGCAGGACCCAGGCACAGGCGCCGCAAGGAGACTCTTGGCACAAGGCAAGGACGGACCCGCCCTGTGCCTGAGCAGGTCCCAGGGCACCGCCTGCAGGGTCTGCTCCATGGAAACGGGGCCTCCCAGGAACACAGCCCCTAAGCTGCAGGGAGGTGCTCTGAGCGGAAAGACGTTAGAACTTCGGAAGAAAAATGGCACTGCCGTGAGGACCGGAATATGCCCTTCTCCACGACCCGCACAGTCGCCCCAGGTAGCTCACAGGTTACTGCTGAGCAGAGACCAGAGACAACGGGTTCCCTGACTCAAGCACGGAGGAACCCCTACGCCGACACAGGTGCCCCCGCTGCGGACACTTCTGCCACAGGAACAGATGGGTCACTCTTCAGAGAGCCACTGCCCCCGGATACAGGCTCCCGCCACTCAGACAGAGGCTGCTGGCAGCGCGCCTCTGAAGTTGTCCTTCCTGCCGCTTTTCCGGCCGGCCGCCCTTCTTCCCAAGGGGCACACGTTCTTCAGGGACCAACGCACAGACTAGACTAGAGCAGAGAGCTGGGCTGGCTTTCTGCCTCGTCACAGCCCACTCAACATCTACTCAGCTCCACTATGTGTGAATTCTACAAGTTTATTTTCAACTTTGAGAAAACCGAAGTTTCAGAAAAGTACAAAAACAAGAATCCCTGTCACTATGAACAACTGTGTGATATTTCCTTCTAATAATTTAAAAAGTAAACTCCCTACAAAAGCTCAGGTCCTCGTTAACACCTCTTCTCCCTAGTCCACACCTCCCAGAGGCTCCTCTCCTCGCCCAGTGCCCGCACCCCTGCTGACCCCTTTCCCTCTACACTGCCCAACCCCACCAGCCCCTGCATGGCGCACTCCCATTCCGCACAATGGCCTGGCCTTCCCAAACCCTGGGCTCTCCCCGGCTCTCCTCAGTCACTCACTGTGGCCACAGACCCTTGTCTGTTCAACAAATGCTAAAAGCTGCCTCTTCCTCGGCTCAATGTCCTCGTCTCATACTCTTCGCTTGGCTACCTTCTGCCTACCCCTGAGCAGACACAGAGCATTACTTCTTCTGGGCCCTCTGTGACTCCTGCCCGCCAGATGGCACTCCCCTATCACATTCTGTTGGCAGCGCAGCGCACTACCACAGCCATGAGTGACTACCGCGACTAACCACTTAACCACCTGCTCGGAGAGCAAGGCTGGCCTGTCTTCATCTCCTGTCTTCCCAGTGCCTGGAGTGTAGAGGGAAGGCAAGTCCCTGGGCAGGTGCGGGCTGAAGGAGAACCAGGGACGCTGCAGGAGCGCTCAGCCGTCCTTCCCACGACTGACCTGCTGGCCCCAGGCGGTCTTCAGCGTCTGGAACCTCTCTACGTTGCCGCTGTTAAAGGCATAAAGGGTGTCAATCAGCCACTGCCGGTCGGTGGTCCTCAGTGACTCCAGCACAGGGTGCATGAGCTGCGAGGAGGACATGGTTAGCCGGCAAAGAACTGTCAGTCGCCCCCTCGTTAAGAAATCTTTGCCCAGGGTCCACTTACGAGTTCTCCAAAGTTAAAAACTCCCTCGCCAAGAAGTCCTGCTAGTCCCAGCGTGAAAGCTCTCTCCTGCTGCTCAGACACTACGGCAACAGCACACCTCCAGTGACACCCCCGTTACGAGATCAGTCCTGTTTGGCTTTAAAAATCTCATGAGAAAGTAAAGAAACCATTCCCTGTAATGGTTCTATCACAAAGCCTTAACATGTTTTTGTAAAAACTTTTATCTCTTTTATTTATTTTATTTTTTAGAGAGGGAAAGTGGGGAGGGGCAGAGGGAGAGACAATCTCAAGCAGGCTCCATGCCCAGCACAGAGCCTGACGCGGGGCTCAATCCCAGGACCCCGAGATCATGACCCGAGCCCAAACCAAGAGTCGGACGCTTTCGAAGTTCTGAGCCACCCAGGTGCCCCATCAGTCATCTCTTTTATAGCACTGGACTAACTCAAGTTATACCTGGGACCACGTATACAGGTTTGTGGGGAAGACATTCATTCGTTTACTTATTTCTACCTAAACATGTGACTCTATGTGTATTTTCCGCTAACCTACTTCCTGGAAGCATTACCTCACATTTCTCTTTCCGTCACCTCATCTAGCCTCTTCCGAACAGCGTGAACGTACTTCCTGTGCCCATACAATTCCCCGCTCTCCTGACTGCGTTCCTTGCGTTTTCCAGGATGCTCTTCTTGAGATGCAGGAACTAACACTGCGCTACCTTGTTTAAGGCGCTGCTGGTGTCCACAGCTTCCACAGTGAACCGGGAGAAACATCTCAAATGGGCTCCCACAGTCCTTGTACTTTCCCCAAAACTTATCATTCACTTTCTTTCCATTCCTCAGACCCTTGAAGGACTTTTCTAAGGTACGCGCCTGCGTCTGGTTCGGTTTTTGCCACCAGACCCTCAGGTGCAGGTTCTCACCACGCCCTTCAGGCTGCAGAGGCCAAGGGAGAC